GACACAGTCACAGACACAGTCACAGACACAGTCACAGACACAGTCACAGACACAGTCACAGACACAGTCACAGACACAGACACAGACAGACACAGACAGACAGACACACAAACAGACAGACAGAGAGACAGAGAGACACACAGACACACAGACACACAGACACACAGACACGCAGACACGCAGACACACAGACACACAGACACACAGACACACAGACACACAGACACACAGACAGACACACAGACAGACACACAGAGAGACACACAGACAGACAGACACACACACACAGACACACACACAGACACACAGACACACAGACACACAGACACACAGACACACAGACACGACACACACACACACACAGACACACAGCCACACAGACACACAGCCACACAGACACACAGACACACAGACACACAGACACACAGACACACAGACACACAGACACACAGACACACAGACACACAGACACACAGACACACAGACACACAGACACACAGACACACAGACACACAGACACACAGACACACAGACACACAGACGCACAGACACACAGACACACAGACACACAGACACACAGACACACAGGCACACAGGCACACAGGCACACAGGCACACAGGCACACAGGCACACAGGCACACAGGCACACAGGCACACAGACACACAGACACACAGACACACAGACACACAGACACACAGACACACAGACACACAGACACACAGACACACAGACACACAGACACCACAGACACACAGACACCACAGACACACAGACACACAGACACACAGACACACAGACACACAGACACACAGACACACAGACACACAGACACACAGACACACAGACACACAGACACACAGACACACAGACACACAGACACACAGACACACAGACACACAGACACACAGACACACAGACACACAGACACACAGACACACACCCACACGCGCACGCGCACGCACACGCACACGCGCACGCGCACGCACACGCACACGCGCACGCACACTCACACGCGCACACACACGAACACTCACACGCACGCGCACGCGCACGCGCACGCGCACGCGCACCCCCCCCCCCCTCACACACACACACACACACACAAACACAGACACAGACACACAGACACACAGACACACAGACACACAGACACACAGACACACAGACACACAGACACACAGACACACAGACACACAGACACACAGACACACAGACACACAGACACACAGACACACATACACACAGACACACAGACACACAGACACACAGACACACAGACACACAGACACACAGACACACAGACACACTGACACACAGACACACTGACACACTGACACACAGACACACAGACACACAGACACACAGACACACAGACACACAGACACACAGACACACAGACACACAGACACACAGACACACAGACACACAGACACACAGACACACACCCACACCCACACCCGCACGCGCACGCACACGCACACGCGCACGCGCACGCGCACGCACACGCGCACACACACGCACACACACGCACACACACGCACACACACGCACACACACACGCACACACACACACACACACGCACACACACACACACGACACACACACGACACACACACACACACACACACACACACACACAGACACACCCTCACGCACACGCACACGCACACGCGCACGCACACGAACACGCACACGCACACGCGCACGCACACGAACACGCAAACGCAAACGCGCACGCGCACGCGCACGCGCATGCGTACGCGCACGCCCACGCGCGCGCGCCCGCGCATGCACGCGGGCACGCGGGCACGCGCACGCGCACGCGCACGCACACGCGCGCGCACACGCACACGCGCACGCGCACGCACACTCACACACACACACACACACACACACACACACACACACACACACACACACACACACACACACACACACACACACACACACACCACACACAACACCACACACACACACAACTCACACACACCACAAGCAACACACACACAACACCACACACACACACACACTTCTTCACCGCACACGCACACACGCACCGCCACACGCCACACGAACACGCACCACGCACACTGCGCACGCCCACCACGAACACGCCAAACGCCAAAACGCGCACGCGCACGCGCACCACGCGCATGCGCACACGCCACGCCCCCACAGCGCGCCGCCGCACCCCCCCCGCGCCATGATAGCACGCGGGCACCGGGACACGGGCACAGCAGCCATACGCGCACGCACGCACGCACACGCGCCCGCGCACCCGCACACGCGCATCGCGTCATAACACGACACACCCACCCGCGCCAGCCCCCGCCACCCCGCACGTGCACCCCCGCGCCCGCGCCCGCGCCCGCGCCGGCACTCGCACCCGCACCCGCACGCGCACGCGCGCGCGCGCACGCACGCACCCACACACAGACACACGCACAGACACACGCACAGTGCACACCATATCAAGCCACAAAGGGGCCCTTCATTTTAAGATGGTGGCCACTACAAAAGAGCTACAACCCTTCGGGATTTAATGGATGATACAGCCACAAGATGGGGGTTGATGAAAAGGTCCTTTAAATGGGATTAGCATTGTGGGAAAATACTAAAAACATGATATTTCCCACTCAATGTGATATCTCAACCACTAAATGGGAAAGGTTTCCCATTGTCATTTGGGGGAATATTGATCAACCCCATGCCGCTTTGTAATGGGTCTGGTTTCCTTCGGAATCCATCGTAGCTCGCGAGGCTGGCTTCGATCCGCGGAGTGGAGGTGGTCGTCGATCCCAAGCGTCTCCGGCCACGCTTATGGATTCGGAAAGGGGACCACCGTAGCTGCGTGGGCGGATTTGGAGCCGTGCAGCTCCTTAGGTTGTTATTTGCTTTTAGTTGGTTTAGTGGTCGGGTTTCCATTTGACCCACAAGTTAATCTTTTAGCAGGGGACTGCAAAGTTTTGGTGGGACAGCTGCTACAGCGCCTCACAATGCCGTAGGAAACAAGTCTTATTGGGCCCATGCAACCGCCTCCTCAACTATAAAATGTCCTACATTCTGCAGTTCTAGGCTGCTTCGTGCTGCTTGCCTTGAGCGGTTCCTTGGTTAAGACCTCCTGAAGAACCTTTGGTGGACGTAACTCCCCCACGCAATTCATGCCAATGGGTTTCCGGTTGAACTTGATTCATGTTTCTTGGATGACCCACTGGCAATGGGCGCAGAATGGTGTGCTCCAGGCAAACCTTTCTGGGTCACCATCATGTGCCCAGAAGCAGAGCTGTGTGTTTTTACAGAAAAAAGGTGGTTTTCCGCTTGGTTTCCCTTCGAGACTATTGTGAACAGGGTACCAAGTCGAACAAACAAAAAACACCCTAGCCATTGTTGCAGTAGCTGGCTGTGTAGGCTTCATGAACTAGTAGTGCCCTTTCTCACCCTTTTTTGGTTGGGAGAGTTCCCCTAAAATAGACTACAGAAAAAAGGGCACCCTTATTTTAACCTCTCTACTGGAGGACCTAGTGAAAACTGCGGCCAGCGCAAAATCACTCAAACGCGCGGTGCTGACGAGAGCCATGCAGATAGACGCAGGTAGCCAAGGGCTACAAGGAGCTGGAGTCCAAGGCTGTCCCTTTTTAGGTGAGTTTAGTCAAACATCGACGGGTTCCATTGGTTTGGATGGGGTTCGATTCCATGTGCCAGGGAACCCCATCTGTTTTTCCCAAAGGCCACCTATGGTCATGCTGATCCACTGGGTGGATCGCTGGCGATGTGGATCCCAGGGTTGCGCTTGCGGGGATGGCACTGGAGAAGCTCCTCGAGCTTTAAAGACTAGTCCGCCACGCCCTTTCTCACCCAGTAGGGGGAAGTGCCCTTTTGCCCTTTTTTGGGGGAGGGTGAGTTAATTACCATGGTTGAACACAGGGGAATCTTTATTCCAGGGGTTGTGGGTAATTATTTACCTCCCCCAGCGAAAGGGCGCCCTCTCTCACCCACTTTTTGGTTGGGAGATTTGGCTCCAGTACTAAAATAAACTACAAAAACCAGTTGGTACCCTTATTCTAACCTCTCCACCGGAGGAGCTAGACCACCAACTTGTTAGTTTGATATGTTCACCAGCTGCCAAGGTTGGAACGAAGGAGAACTTGGATGAATTTGGGCATTAGCAAGCTGCCTTGTCTCAACTTGCCCTGCTTGACTGGGAAAAAGCCGTACATCTGGGCAAGTTCCGCTTGATTGTAATTAAGCTCGTTTGAAACATGACTAAAGATCGGGGAACTGAGGTTGGTCCCCTTAAAACCATAGTTGGAACCTACTTACCAAGTTGGTTGAACATCCAAGCAGAGGCCTAAGGTGCGACGTCGGATGTGTCAACTTGTTTTCGGTTGATCATTCACCCCTTGGCGGTTCCCAGCTGTCCGGTTCCTGGGGTTTTTGGTTGGTTTTAGTTGGTTTAGTGGTTAGGTTTCCGAATTTAACCCGCAAGTTGAACTTTCAGCTTGGCATCTGAGGACAACCCAGCAGTAGGCCGCTTCATTGCCGTAGCGTTGGCTCAGATCGCAACCTGCCACCTGAGCATTGCATTGAGTCGTGCAGTCCTGAAAAAAATCCAGATCGAAACCCTGCATGCCATGCAAACTTCCAAAAGTTCGGTTCTTGCGCCATCAATTTGCCGCATCACCCGGAGCCAGTTCCTCTACCTTTTTGTTCGCCCCGGCGATCTAGCTTGGGCCGTTTCGAACCAATGAGCGAAGACCCCAGGGTCAGTCACGTGACAGCTTCCCGCATCGCCAATGGTTTTCTCCCATCAGCTCGCCGTTTTTGGGGTACAGTCTTTGAAGAAAAGTTGCAATCTGGCGAATAGGTCTACCCGAATCAATCAACAGAGCAAACAAAGCTGGGTCTCACTTTTTTCTTCTTGTTCGGTTGGGAGGGTTCCCCAACTAAAATACACACAAAAGAAAAAGTAGGTACCAACTTATTCTATCCTCTCTACTGGAGGACTTAGAAAAGGAAAGCTAGGTCATGGCTGCCATGGCGATGTCTGCACTCGGTGTGCCCGCGCGCACGGCACCCACGTTCACGTCGCCGGTGCGGTTAGTTGGCGGCGCGCCAGCTTCGCCGCGCAGGCGAAGGCGGGCCGCGGGTTCCGGGTGCTGGGGATATCACTGGGCTTACGTGTTTCCCAATTTGTTTAATTGCCAGTTGACAATATGTTGGGGACAGTCTCAAAGGGGGTTCCCTAAGGACCCCTTTTGATGGGCGCCCGGTTGATGACTCCACCTGAGAAAAAAGAAATGGCGTGTTCCCCATTGGGTCCCGATCCCTCGACCCAGATGGTTCAAATAGCCCAAGCATCTGAAGTTTGTTTCCCCTGAAACTTCCATTTGCTGAAGAAAGTTTTGGTATTTCCCTTGTTGGTCTTAAAGGGATTTATCGCTGGACCTATTTTCTTTTTTCCCCGACAGCTGCAAACTTTGGGGTCTCAGCCCAGATAGGTTCCGGGGTGGTCCGGGGCGGCCCTGAGGTAAGGTTCCACGAGGGTTCCACCAACGTTCCACCAGGGTTCCACCAGGGTTCCACCAGGGTTCCACGAGGTTCTGCGAGGGCTGCGCGGTGGTGCGAGCACTAAAAAGAGGACCGCATGCTGTTGGGGATATCACCTGAGCTTATGTTATTTTTTCCAGGCGGTGAAAAAGCAAATGGAAGGGACGCTTGCCTGGATAGGCTCCATCGAGGTTCGGCTCGTTTCTAGCTCCGCGCGTTCGTTTTTTCTTGGATTCCGGAAGGGCTCCAGGACTTGCCTTGGTGTACCGCATGGCTGGGTTCCACTTTTTGATTATTTCAAGGTAGACTTCAACCGGGGGTTCCCTCTTTTGGGGACATCAACCTTGGTTTAAGTCTATCTTGGGGTAAGTGGAACCAGGCGCAAGATTTGAGTCACTGGCTCGAAAATGGCTCAAATTGGGATACTTGGCAAAGCCTCGCCAACAGTTCAAGTTCGGGTCGCAAAAGGTTCCCAGATCCCAACCCATCTCCTCTTTGTCAGGCAACCCTTGGTGGTTTTTGCGGGTAGAGGAACCCCTTTTGAACCAAATGGAGAAGGTACGGTCCAAACCAAGCCACCAACTGTAAGGGTGACCCTTTGTGGCTTTTTGTTGCTTAACTCAAACGGTTTTCGTGGACAGGCCGGATGTGTCCCGGGGGCCCGTCTGCTTGCTGGCCGCTCTCGTCGCGCGGGCGCGGTTCTCGCGCGGTTCAGCTCGCAGCTGCAGAAGGGCTGCGAAGGAGGACGTGGTGTCGCCTCTGTTTGGTTGCTGGTGCGAGAGGATGACACCTATAAACCATCCATCCCTTGTGGTTTCCTTTGAGGGGACCAGGTTCATTCCCTCATTCCTGCTGAGCACCAGCAAGTTTGGTTGGGGGCCAACGAATGAACATGAAAGGGACGTGGGTCAAAATAGGTTAACCCCCAAATGGCGCAAGCCCTGGTAAATGGAAACAAGGGGACATCATACTCATGTTTAACTTCCAGAAAGGAAATTAGAAGTGGATCGATCTCTTTCAAAGAACAGCCCCCGATTTTTTTTGGCACCCAGGTCATACATAGGGTTCTAAAGATGGGGGTAAGCGCCCAAAACCGATTCCTATCGGGCAATTTGTTGCAGCTTCCTCTTCAATGGAGGTGTTTTGGGGCTGTTAGCCTCACAGAAACAAATGTTGAAGTTCAATCCAAACCAACCTTCGGGTGATCTGAACATCGGAAGCTTTGGTTAAAGCCTGTGGAAGCGTGGAAGGGCCGTACAGACCCTATGAAACCAGGTAGAATCACATGCAAAAACAATGCCGCACGTGTTCTCGTGTGTTTCTCGGTGAGAGTTGTGGGGTGCCAACGAGAAATCGGCGCCCAACGGGCGCATTGCTCTTTGGTTGGTAAAGCAATGGCACCATGACCAGGGGCAAAGGGCACACTCTGCCTAGGCTTGGCACAATCATTGGGAGGCTTTGTCCAAGATGGTTTCCAGTTCACACAAAGCATTGGGCCCAGGGTAAATTGGGGTATATGCCCGTTATGTGGCTGTGGGTCAAGAATGAGTCAGTCGGTCGCCCCATGGGCTCCCGAGTGATTCGGAGCATGTTCAAATGACTGTGCACAGGGTCAAAAATAGGTGCCCAAAATGGGTTGCCCTGGCAAGAGGAAACATGCGGTCCCCTGGTGGTTTAATTTTGACTCATACAGGAGAGCCAAGAAAAAGCTTTGGTTTGGGGGTAGCCTCTCGAAAACCAGAACCAAATCAGAACCCGATAGGAGAACCCATATAGCGGCTTTTTTGCGTGGCTGTATATCCCATTCACCCAGAAAACCAGTTCGACAGGAGAGCCGAGAAGTGGAGTTCTTTGAGCTGAATTGGAAGAAAGAGCTCAGCTCCACCACGGTGCTGCAGCGCTTGAGCCTCTTGGCTGAGGAGCGAAATTGGGTGCTAAACTAGGTCCCCCAGCCAGTCGTGCCCTTTCTCTCACCCACTTTTTTGGTTGGTATTGGGTTCCCCTACTAAAATAGACATCTGAAAAAAGTTGGAAACTAACTTATTCTGACCTCTCTACTGGAGGACCTAGTAAATGACGAATATGGGGCTGTCCTGTTTGGATGGTAGCCCCATTTGGTTGGTTTCAAAGGAAAGGCAGAAGGATACCGACAATTTTCGGGGGTCCCCTATTTTAAGAAACAACTCATATGCTTTATGTTTCTGAGAGACCGACAAGGAATAGGTCAGGAAAGAAAAGCCCAAAATCGATGCAGCTGTGCGCCATGTCTAGGGTTGCGTTAGATGACATACTGTGGACGAAATCCGCTTCGCGCCAGTTGAGATGGATGAAGCCCGACTTGAACACTGGCCTACCAACTGGTGCGAAATGGATTTTGCCCATCCACAGTATTGCACACGTGGAGTACACCGCAGAATCGGCCCAGGGTTTAGCGGTCGGTTCTACAAAAACAATTCTGTTTGCTTTCCGGGGCCTGTGCGCTTGGAGGTGGAGGGGGGGCCGGGGAGGAAGCAGTGCGAACACTTCAATAAACACGGAATTGCGCTGGGGTGTCCTTTAGCAAGGCCGCATAATGTCTTCCATTTGTTTAAGACCATTTTTTATTTTCCCCTTTTGGTTGTAAAAACAAATCTATCACTACTGGACATATTTTTATTTTTTCCAGGGGGCTTAAGCAAATGGAGGATGTCCTTCTTTTGTCGGTTTTGAGCTTCATCTTTTGGGGCCGTTTTGGGAGTTTCCTTCAGGGAGGTTTTAAGAGGGAGATGGGTCTATAAACGAACCAATTCGGGTCTCTCAGCACTGAGTGCGCGACCTCTAGGGAGTTTGGGGGTGGCCAAACAAACAAGCACAGCAACAACTTGTGTACATTGTCCTTTTTGGTTGTTGTGGTCGAAAAAGATGGCCCTGGTTTACTTGGTGGTTTAATTATGTACCAGGGAAATCCATCTATTTGCCCCAAAAGGACACCGATGCTTGTGTGTCTATCTCGAAATAGGAACCCTTGGATGGCCTCTGGGAAACCAAACAGAAACTCGATCCAACCCAGAAAAAATCCGAATCCCAAAATGGCTGGTTGGTTTTCCTTGTCTAGGTTTTCCAGCGAAAGGGTGCAAGCTTTCTCACCCACTTTTTGGGGTGGTACGGGTTCCCCTACTAAAATAGACTAAAAGAAAATAGTTGGTACCAACTTATTCAAACCGGTCAAATCTGGAGGACCTAGTTGAGGTTTCCCTTCAGAAGACTTCAATACTATAGGCTCTGGAAGGTTTCTCAGCATAGGGGGTGCATTTGTCGGTTTAAGGGGCTGCCAAAAGCAAATCAGCTGAAGGAGTTGGTCCAGCTGCTCTTGAGATGTGTCTAAATCACATCGCAACATTGTCGGGGATGCAAACAAAGGACGCGGAAAGCGAAGCTGGGTATCTGAAAATGTTGGACCCCCTTTCTAGGTGGCATTCAAAGGGACCAGCAGGCCACCCTTGCCGCCTTAGGAATCGGACCGCGACTCCTTGTTAGCAACCAGAGGCCCAACCTTTTTGAGAAACACCCGACTTTGCACATCTCGTTTTGCATCAGTCCCATTCTAAATCTATATTCCTTGTAAGACTGTTTCTGGGGAACGTAAAGAGAAGCATGTGGACAAGTTCCTGAAGCACGCGCGGGGTGTTTCTCGACAGTCCTTTTCTTGGATGGTTGGGGAAACCAAACTCACTTGCCCGAGCCCAACTGGATCCGACCCTTTGTTTTTCCAGTGTTGGTCCATATATATATATATATAGCTAGGTCCCCGAGTAGTGCCCTTTTAATTACCCCTTTTTTGGGGGAGGCTTCCCCTACTAAAACAGACAGAAGAAAGTTGATACCAGCTTCTTCTAACCTCTCTACGGTGCCCTTCTTCTAACCTAGATAGTCAAGGTTCCACAAGGTCATGCAATCAGGCTACCCTTGGCGGTTTGGATTGGTGGGAATTGAGTTGCTGGTTCTTGTAGAGGATGCATGGGACCTTCGCACCAAACCACCAATCCAAACTGAGCAGGGGGAAGATGAGCTGAAAATGTACGGTTTGCCTCACTGGTTGTTTCATTTGTTCATGCCGTCTCGCGCTTCTTTGTGGCTGAGGGAATCAAAAGTCAGCGTTTTTTGGCTGGGGGTTTGGATTGGTGGTTTAGTGGTGTGAAGGTTGGATGGTTTCCCAGTTGCCCTCTATAAGAACCGGGGACCCGTTCAAATCCCATTCCAAACCACCAATCTAAACCACCAATTGCGGGCATTTGAACAGGGAAGCCAAAGCCAAAGCCTCCAGTTCCGGAACGAAAGCTTAGTTTTCCAGTTTTGGTTCTTATGTGGTCAAGCTTCCAAGAGGCGATCACCTTTCATTTCAGGGTTTTGAAAGGGGCAACATCTGAAAAAGGGAAGCCAAAGCCTCCAATTCCCCCCCCAGTTCCTGAAAGTTGTTGTTTGAATTCATGGGTTTTTGGCTCAGGGACCCAAAGGGATTCTTTCCCTAGCCAGCCCCAGCCCGTTCTTCACCCCAGCCCCAGCGCCCCCAACTCTAGGGCCAGCCCCTCAGTGCCCCCAACCGAGTCGGAGCTGAGGCAAGAGGCTCAAAAGGCGATCACCTTTTGTTTCTGGGTTTTTAAAGTCCCCCCAGTTCCTGAAAGCTGTTGTTTGATTTCATGTGTTTTATTTGGCTGGGGGACCCAAAAAGAAGCCCTTCAGCCCCAGCCCCCCCAAGTTGAGGCAAGCCCAAGCTGCCGGACGCCTTCACCCTGCTGGGGGATCTCGCAACCTGCGGGCTGGTTGCTCCCATGCTCAGCACCTTCTCCCTGCTAGTGGGGCTGTCGAAGCCCGACTGGCTCAGGCCGGACGTCTTTGTCGTCTTGTATTTTATCTAGGTTCCCCAGTAGTGCCCGTTTACCCTTTTTTGGGGGAGGGTTCCCCTACTACAATAGACTACAGAAAAACTAGACCACGGTTGGCCCGAAAGCATCACAGCCCCGTGACCATTCTGCGCAAGTTGCTCTGGGCAAGGTGCTTTGCGCAAACTGGTCTGTGCAAGTTGCTCTGCGCAAGTTGCTTTGCGCAAGTTGCTCTGTGCAAGTTGCTCTGTGCAAGTTGCTCCGTGCAAGTTGCTCCCTGCAAGTTGCTCTGTGCACGCTGCTCTGCGCAAGTTGCTCTGTGCAAATTGCTCTGTGCAAGTTGCTCCCTGCAAGTTGCTCTGTGCAAGTTGCTCTGCGTAAATTGCTCTGCGCAAGTTGCTCTAGGCAAGGCGCACTGCGCAAACTGGTCTGTGCAAGTTGCTCTGCGCAAGTTGCTCTGCGCAAACTGGTCTGTGCAACTTGCTCTGCAAGTTGCTCTGCGCAAGTTGCTCTATGCAAGTTGCTCCGTGCAGCTTGCGAAGCCCGCCCGCGGACCAGGGGGGAATCGAACCCAGGATCCGCCGGTCCCGGGAGCAGGCGCGCGAACCACGAGACAACACCCGAGGACCAGCTCGAACCAAAAAAGCTAGCAAAACACCTCGAGCTTTTGCACCTCGACCGCGCCGATCCCCGCAGAGGGTCGCGCGAGCCAAAACAAAATCGCAAAAACCCTCGAGTTTTTGCACCTCGACCACGCCGATCCCCGCAGAGGGTCGCGCGGGCCCAAGCAAAATTGCACAACAACTCGAGTTTTTGGACCTCGACCACGCCGATCCCCGCAGAGGGTCGCGCGGTCGACCGCGCCGATCCCCGCAGAGGGTCGCGCGGGCCCCGCAGAGGGTCGATTTTCGTAGAGCGTCGTCGGCGCTACCCCGTCGCCCTAAGAAGAGATTTTAACTCCTCGCAAGTCAATTGCACTTGACTCCTTGCACTTGCAACTTGCACTTGACTCCATGCACTTGGCTCCTTGCAACTTGCAATGACTCCTTGCAATGACTCCTTGCAATGACTCCTTGCAACGACTCCTTGCAATGACTCCTTGCAATGACGTTCATGATGATTCCTTGCAATGACGTCTTGCAATGACTTTCATGATGATGATTCCTTGCAATGACTCCTTGCAATGACTCTCATGAGAACAACTCAGCGGAAGGGCCCTTCGCCATGCTTTCGGGAAAAGTTGGTACCCTTATTCCAACCTCTCTACTGGAGGACCTTTTTTATGACAAATGTCATGTGAAGGCTTCCAAAGAAGAAAGATATTCATCATGTAAATATTGACAACGTAATTCCACTGCCAATTGGTTAAATTGGAGGACATTCTCAGGAACCCTTATAGTTGGTAGCTTGGGGGATTTGGATTTGAACAAATGAACTCATAAAACAACAAGAGGGGAAACCACCCCCAGAACCACCAAGCCACCAATCCAATCCACCAATTGGAGGGGTAGCTGCAATACCAGGGTAACCTCATGAAAATACAGGGGAACCATGCTTGGTGTTAAATGCGGAATCTTGTTTGCGGTTAAAGATGGCTGTTAAATACAGAGATTCCTTTTTGGTTGTCTTGAAGAGAATCTAAAGGACGTACCCTTGGTAAAGGGGCTCATGAATGATGGGTTGTCTCGCTCTTTTTTTTCCGAGGGTTTTTTGCTGGCAGGGAATCTGAAACCACAAGCACAAAGGCCAAACTGGGGACGGGGGGACTGAAACTCCATTTTAAGCACCGAAACGAGGCCTGTGGTCCCCCTCGCCTGTGCCCCAGACCTTCAAAGGGCTTCCATCCACATGAGAAGTGGTGCGTAGGCAAGGAACTCCGGGCTGCCCGAAAAAGGCAAAACAACAACAAACCCAAAAGGCGGGTTGAAACCCTGAAGCCGTGAAGCCATTGCTCGGCCAGCAGTTTGAAAGCAGGGGGGTTGTGATAGTTGAATCTCCAGCCGCACATGCTGACGGACGATTCAACCTGGATTGTTTTTTGTTGGGACATACATGGTTGTTGTCGGGAAACATTTTTTCCATGTTTGCTCGTTGTGGTTTTTCGTGGTTGAACTCCAACCACATTTAACTGCTAAAATGTGAGATGGTTTTTTGCTCCATTTCCAGCATCAACCAAGCCAAGTCCGGTTTGTCTACTCCTGTCGATAGTGCCCAACTCGCGAGGCTCCTCTCAGACACCGCGCCTTGGCTACAGAAAAATCCTACTGTTTGGAGGAAGCCAAAAGGAAAACCTACCCATGCCGGGGGACCCCGAAATAAAAAGACACACCCACGTGGCCATGGATGCGGCATAACCTATGGCGATCCCATTTTGGGGTGGAGGAACATCCATTTGCCACCCAGTTTGATGTTCACCAGGGGTACAGGGTTTTGACCCACAGCCGCACGGGTTGCAAATCGGGAGCCCCTTTTGGTATTGCCAGAATACCGACCGGGAAGCGTCCCTCATTTTGAGAAACTCCAATGCTGAGGATGCGAGCGACGAGTGTAGCCCACACACGGTGCTCGAGTGGTCTACCTTTGATGTGGCTGTGAGTCAAACCCAATGGGATCCCATTTTGGGGTAGGTGCACTTTAGTCTATTTTAGTCGGGATTGGGATGTTCACTGGGGGTACGGGATTTGACCCATGGCCATGTATATTTCTTCTTTAGACCAAAAACACGTTTTCCGCTTCTTGCCTTCTTCATGCTTCTCATTTGTTGATTTCTCGTTTGCACACACACACACATCCACTTAGATTGTTTGTTGTTTTTAGTTAGTTTAGTGGTTGGGTCTCCGAGTTTAACCCACAAGTTAGTCACTTGAGCAGGGGATCTGAAAACGGACAGCCCAGATTTGAGGTTTCTTGGGGTCGTTTACGTCCAATGTATTCTGTTGGCTCGCACGGGCAGGACAAACAAAAACTTTGCGTTCCAGCCCTCGGCCTTTTGATTTGGGGTCCCCCGGCGAGGCGCCCTTTCTCACCCCTTTTTTGGGTGGGAGATTCGGTTCCCCTACTAAAAGAGACCAAAGAAATAAACAAATGGTACCAACTTATTCTAACCTCTCAAATCTGGAGGACCTAGTTCTGGGTCAAAATGAGTCACCAGGATAAAAAACCGCAGGTTTGAGAACCCATACTTCCATTGACCAGACGGATCCATCTTGGGTACAGCCATGGTCCAAGGGACCCGGCCCCAACCTTCTTGGGGTTTCTGGCGTGGAACTTCCTTGGCTTCGCTGTTCTTGGCATGTGTTTTGTTTTTTTTTTTTTGAAATTTTTGGTTCCGTTCATTTTTACTGGGGGTCTGCAAATATATATATAATATATATATATATATGTTTTTTGCTACCATACCAAGAGTAGAGATGTTGGAGCTACTGGCGAATGTCTGTGGCACTGTTAGTTGAGGACGGTCGCACATTGCGTTCCCTTTGGTGTTTAGAGACAACTCCTTGAGGACGATCAACAACTTGGCAAACCCGTTCCACCCCCTTGCTCTCGACGTTTCATTCAACCACTTTCAGCTGAGGACAATCAAAACTCGGGTAAGGGAAGGTGAGTAAGGGGCACTCCCAACCATAAGTAGGTGCGGATATCCGCCTTGGCAACTTTGCATGTTACATGGTTTTGGGTTCACCATTTTTGTACCGATCGGTTTTGATTATGACTCGAGGACAATAACTTTGCGTTAATTAGAACCAGAGTCATAGCTGTGATAAGGCAACTGCCCGGTTATGTCCTCTGTACTTAGTAGGTTGGGCGAGAACTTTGCGTTCCACCCCTCTTCTGTGAGTGTTCACCATGTTCGTACCGATCGTTGTTCTTTTTCATGACTCGAGGACAAGAACTTTGCGTCAATTAGAACCAGAGTCATAAATGTCATAAAACAACTGCCCGAGTTATAACCTTGGTTATGTCCTCTTTACTTAGTAGGTTGGACAAAATCAGCTGAGGACGAGAACTTTGCGTTCCACCCCTCTTCTGTGAGTGTTCACCATGTTCGTACCGATCGTTTTCTTTTTCATGACTCGAGGACAAGAACTTTGCGTTCCCGGCCTACGGCCACGGGTTGCTCTTTTGCCTCTCTTGGATCTTCGGTGGACTTGCCATGGGCGCTTTCGAGGCCAATGCCACCAACTCCAGGAGCCGTGGTCGGTTTCGGATGGGAAAGAAATCGACGGGACTTGGGGCCGTTGAATTGTTTGTTTGTTCGTTTTGTTGGCTAGGTCCTCCAGTAGTGCCCATTTACATCCATTTACCTTTTTTTGGGGGGAGGGTGCCTTTACTAAAACAGACTACAGCAAACAGTTGGTACCCTTATTCTAACCTCTGCTGGATGACCTAGTTGGGGGGGAGGATTTCCGAGCCATGTCCCTTCTTGGCGCCTCCAAAAGTGGGAGGTCCGGTGTCCTTTAGGTCAGTTTGGTTGAATCTAGATGAGCGCCGGTGAAGGACAACTCGCTCGGTCTTTTTGGAGGGTGCCCCATTTCTTGACGGCTTAAGGACAACCAAAAGGAACACCCATATTGGGTGGGTGGGGGGGGTGAAAACTGACACACTGATATATTGAGCTCCTGCTGGATTTGTGGGGCATTTTTTTCCCTTGGATGAAGCGGCAGGAACCTTCTGGAGACGATCCAGCGTAACGCGCTGGCGGCATGTGCTACGCAACTCGGTTTTTGGAGGAGGCAGGCGTCGCTGTTGTTGTTTTTGGTTGGTTGCTTTGTATTGCTCTATGTGGCTTGTCTCACTTGTTGTTGGCACTTGCTTAGGGAATAGACTTTCCGATTTGGTTTGGAAAGCACACCACATCGGGGATTGTTTATAGGAAGTCATTCCAACTCATTCCCTATCGAACCGATCGCTAGTTGTTCAGGTGTTGCTTCATTTGTTTGTTTGTGGCGTTGGGAACCAAAACTAGGTCCCCCAGTAGCGCCCTTCCCCCCGTTTTTGGGGGAGGGCTCCCCTACTAAAGCAGACGACAGAAAAAGGGTGCCAATATTCTAACCTCTCTCTCAGGATTCCGTTGGCTTTTTAAAATGCCAGGGTTGACTCCATGTGTGGCTTGGTTCACTCCATTGCTTGTTTGCCTGATTGGTTGTTAGTCTGTTGTGTTTGCTTGTGTGCTTGCTTGCTTTATCTTTTTTTGCTTGCTTGGTTGTTGTGTTTGTTTGTTTGTTTGTTTGTTTGCTTGCTTGCTTGCCTGCTTGTTTGCTTGGTTGTTTCCGCTTGTTTGCTTGCTGGTTTGTTTGTTTGTTTGTTTGTTTGTTTGTTTGTTTGTTTGTTTGCTTGCTTGCTTGTCTGTCTTATCTTGTTTTGCTTGTTTGGTCGGTTTGGTTGGTTTATTGCTTGCTTGCTTGCTTGCTTGCTTGTTTGCTTGCTTGCTTGCGTGCGTGCGTGCGTGCGTGCGTGGGTGCTTGCTTGCTTGCTTGTTTTGCTTGTTTTGCTTGTTTTGCTTGCTTGCTTGCTTGTTTGGTTGGTTTGGTTGGTTTGTTGCTTGCTTGCTTGCTTGCTTGCTTGCTTGCTTGCTTGCTTGCTTGTTGGCTTGCTTGCTTGCTTGCTTGCTTGCTTGCTTGCTTGCTTGCTTGCTTGCTTTGCTTGCTTTGCTTGCTTTGCTGGCTTGCTGGCTTGCTGGCTTGCTGGCTTGCTGGCTTGCTGGCTTGCTGGCTTGCTGGCTTGCTGGCTTGCTTGCTTGCTTGCTTGCTTGCTTGCTTGCTTGCTTGCTTGCTTGCTTGCTTGCTTGCTTGCTTGCTTGCTTGCTTGCTTGCTTGCTTGCTTGCTTGCTTGCTTGCTTGCTTGCTTGCTTGCTTGCTTGCTTGCTTGCTTGCTTGCTTGCTTGCTTGCTTGCTTGCTTGCTTGCTTGCTTGTGTTTATTTTGTTTCTTTGCTTGCCTGCGGTTTGATTGTTTCTATCTTTGTTTGTTTGTTTGGTTGATCGTCTTTGCCTGGTTGTTTGGTTGGCTGGCTGGCTGGTTGGTTTGCTGGTTTGTATGCGTTGTGTTTGCTTGTGTAATTGGGTTTAGTTTGGTACGGGTGTCTATGGATTGTTTGATGATTGCTTATTTGTGTGGTTTGTTCTGTTTGTTTGTGTGTGTGTGTGCTTTGTTGCTCTGTGTCGGGTGGATTTGTCTTGTTTGTGGTGCTTAGTTCTAGGGGTACCTTCCCCATTCTTTCCAGGGATCCGAATCTTTTCAGCAAACCATCAAAAACCCAGGGGAAACAGCCGGTGTTTGAGAGAACGATGGTTGCAAAGAATGGGGAATCAACCCATAGATTAGTTGGTTGTCTCTTTATTTCACTGTATCCTTCTCTATTTGCAAGGGTATTTGCTTCGCTTGTTGCAAGCACGCGTTTCGCGCATTTGATGCATAAGGACAAGTGCGATTTCATAACTTGGGCATGTGCGTGCTTTGTGTTCATCATGGCTCTTGTTCCCAGGTAGCTGAAACATACTGTGGATGGACGAAATCCATTTCGCACCACCAAAGAAAGCCTGGAATGAGTCGATTCCCCTGGACATACTAACAAACAAATGGTTTCAACCATGGTTTCAAGGTGGTGCGAACGGATTTCGTCCATCCACAGTACGTAGACATCCCCAGTGGCTGTGCCTACTTAGAAGGTAGCCACTGGAGACAGACTCGTTTGCTCACTGCAGTGGGCATTCCCTGTTTGAGGGATCCTTGCAAGGGGAAGCAGAAACAAATGTTTATTCTGAAGAAAAAAAACACCCAAGTAGCAAAGGACAAGCCTGGTTCATTTGGGTGTCGAGACCCCTCAAATCAACCCGTCACAAGCTCGCCCATTGAGGGTACCCGTTTCAGCTTGGTTTGGAGGAAGGCCGATTCGCTTCTTGGGGTGTCCCCCACCCACATGTGTGTGAGTGTGTCTCAAGGTTTTGGGGCCCTCCGACGCCCCCAGGCAAAATCATGATGTTTCCAACAGCAGCCGCAGAGAGGTTCATCGTTTGTCCGGCCCGAAGCCTCAGGCAGCTTTTAATCCAACGAGTTGCCAAAACACCCAAGGACGCACTTTTACTCGCATCTTCGTTGCCAACAACTGCCGGTGGTTGGCCATCCGCGTTGCAAGCCTGGTAACAGCAGGGCTCATGACGGCTACCTGGAGTCTCCATGACCCTTTAAAAATAGAGGTCATGACCCCTTGATTTTTGGAACCTGGTCATGGAGACTCCAGGTAGCAAATTGCGAAGCTAATATTGGCCCCCAGTTTATTAGTAGGCGTTAACAGGGGGGCGGTTTTGGCCCCTCCAAAAATGGTCTGATTCCCCATTAAACCCAGGGCAAAACACCGTATTCATAAACTGGTTGGTTGATTCACATGGGGTCAACATTACCAGCAAGTCTTCGGTGCATGCTGCTTGGATGTTAAGTCTTCAACTTTTTGCCAACTAATGGGTTTTCATTAAACCACGAAAAGTTAGTCACTTCTAGCAGGGGAGCAGAAAGCAACGAGAAATTAGGAGCTTGGCAACGGGGTCACCCGAGCCGAGGTTTTACGTCGCCAGCACGGTGTGGCTGGTTTTGTCTGGCTCGGGGCTTCTGGAAGACGCCTATTCGGTGACGGGGTATGCGACTTGGACGTGGGCATTCAGCATGGGCGCGGCAATTTTTGCAGGGAAGGCTTCCCCCCTGTTGGTTGGCTAGGTCCCGCAAAAAGGTGCCCTTTCTCACCCCTTTTTGGTTGGGAGGGTTCCCCTACCAAAATAGACTACGGAAAAAAGGGTACTCTTATTCTCACCTCTCTACTGGAGGACCTAGGGATGGGTTAAGGGGGAAACCAGAAAGAGAAGTTTGGGGTTCCCTAGTTTTAAGGACAACGACCTATGTGAGTGTCTTAAAATGGAGGGAAACCAACAGGAAAGCCTTGCCGTTTTAGGAATCATACCGATTCCTATTTTGAGAAAGACTCTATATTGTGATGAGGTCAAGCTACTCAGAGGGGTGCTTGGAATATGCAGGGCCACACTATATATATATATATTATATATATTAGGGTTTGTTCTTTTTTGGTGTGTTGAGTTGCTTCAAAAGGCAGAAGGTGGGACCTTCCTGCCCGGCCACCCTAAAAAAATACAAACCCATATATATATATATATATATCTAGGGCTACATTTTACTCTGAGTTCCCCCGGTTCGGGGGTTGGAATCCTGAAGAGCCTGCCAGCAACCGAATGACTGCCATGTGCCGTGGGTCTACATAGCCTCTGGGCGAAGTCCACGCCCAGTTGATGGGTGGTTTGTCCGGGTTTCATCCATCCAGGCGGTGCTTGGCGTGGATTTCATCCGCAGTATGCCGGCATTTCATGGCGAGCAAAGGCAAAATTCATTCTCGTAGACAACGAACTGAAGGCCCTCTATCTGCGGATCCAATTCTTATTTCGGGTTCATATGATTCTACAATGTTCTGTTTCCCGCATGCGTAGGGCTCCCTTTTGAAGGTTTCGGGTTGGGCCAACATCGCGCGCCCACCTGCGCCAAAGCATAGATGGGCGCGCGGTTTGTTCAGACGTCTCGCTGGGTCCGGTGCCATTCTCTACGTGCCCGCGGTGCATAAACACGCGGGATAATTTTGGTTTGTGCTGGCAAGAGGATACTGAGTGGGAAGCATTTTGGCCCGAGGGACGGCAGCGATCCGGTTGGTTTGCTTGGTGACTCCCAGCATCCCCTTAGGTTTTTAGCCTTTTAGTGTTTAGTGGGGATTTCCATTTAAGCCACTGCAAGTTAAACTTTTAGCGGGGGATCTGAGGACAGCCCAGTCAGTTGATCATTCCACGGCAGTGATCCTGTTTGGAAGTGTGTGTCAACCGGCGGCACCAGTCACCAGTCTGGTCCAGGCTGAAGCCATGACGAGTGTGCGGGCAGTATGACTAGGGAGGAGTCATACTGAAGAAGCATGGGTTACTTGAACAGTTGCCCAGTCCAGTCCAGTGGTCGGTCCCTTTGTCCTTTTCTGACTTCCTTTTGGTGGTGAACAAAGAAGGTTAGACATGTTTTCGTTGCAAATCTACTTGATCGGAAGCGAGTTTTAAGACGTCCTTTTATCCGCATACACGTGTTGCAGCGTGATTGCCCCAAAGCCAGGAAGCTGTAAGTGTGTGTGGCACATGGCAGTCGATCAATCAGATCGAAGCCTAAACTCCCATTTGGAAAGCCCAATGCCTGGGCACCTTTTGGCCGAGCAAATCGATTTATGGATCCAATCTTGCAGGCCTAGGCTTGAGGATCTGGGCAAGGGTATGTCTCAAAATAGATTTGGACCGGGACCCCATGGAACGGTAGGTTACTCTTGCCAACCGGGTAGCCTTCACGGAATTGCTCTTGGTGATCAAGAATCATTTGCAATGTTTGGTGGACAAGTCATAGATGGCTATGCAAGAAAACCCCAACGACTGCTTTTGGACAGGGTGCCACATGAGTGTGTCTCTAGGGGTAGTTTCCTCATTCTTTTCAGGGATCCTTCTTCTAGAAAACCACCAAAAATCCCTGGAGAGATGATGGCTGGTTTTTGAAAAGAATGGCTGAACAGAATACGGAAAAGGCATCAACCCCTACAGCCTCAGAATTTCTCAGCCCAGGCGAGGAATCAACCTACAGTGTCTTGTTTTAGGGAGACGGGTTTCCCTTGACATCCACCAACAACAGGTACCAACTCCAAGAAAGGAACCGGCACGAAAAATCAAAAGTCGCCTCTGAGGTCACGGGGACGCACGTCACTCCATCCTACCGGGACTTCTTTTTCGACCAGCTCCTTGAGGCATGCGCTTGTGAAGTTGGTATGTGGATTTTTCCATGTGCGGGGGGGAGGGGTCGGCAACTCTCTTGATGGTGGCTGAATCAGACGTTGAGGCTTTGGTTGGGGGCGGGGGCTGGGACTCTTTGCTGAGGGGGGAAGGGGGGCTGGCTTCTTTTTGTTTTCTTGAGCCACTGGCGCGGAACCGATTCATGTAGAAGGTTAGCAGGGGCTAGTCCCAACCATTAACAGGTGCGGCTGTCGTTCTGCGTCTCTAAATGGTGGGCAGACCAATTTAATACCAGGTTTTGATTCGGACTCCCTTGGTGTTTGCTGGGTTCGTCTAGATCCCGTGTTTCGGTTTCCCAGCAAGGGAATCAATCTAACTCGGTTCGAACTGGTTTTCTAGGATCACTATGGCCACCAGAAACACCAAAAAGCCACTCCCATCCAATTTGAGAGGTGTCCGAGCTTCTGCGAGCAGTGATGGTTGATTTGTCCTTGGCAGGGGACGGGACACGGCTGGTAAATGTGTTGCCGGTTTTGCCCTGTGGAAGGTGATTTTAGGCGGGGGAGGGCTCTTCGACTTGGATTTCCGGTTCCCAGCCATCCCCTTACTTAGGCTTTGAGGTTTTTAGGGTGCATGACCCCTTGAAAATTGGGGCCATGACCCCTTTAAAAATAGGGTAATGACCAACCATTTTAACGGGTCGTGCAGACTCCCACGTAAAAGTTAGACTTTCGCAGGGGATCCGAAAACTTGGGCTCTGCGGGAGAGATAAGGGTAGGAAACTCGAAAGGGTGTTGTTCAAAAAGTCACCACAGGTTTGGCGCCGGATCCGCACGGCATTAACATAATGTGAGGATGGGGTGGGGTTGTTTGCGGGGTGGGGTGGTTTGCTCAAAACCACGCCAATTTTGAGGGATGGGGTGGCTTGCGGCGAAAACTGGAAAGTCCCACCACACGTTGCCGCAGCCATGTCCCCCTTTCCTACAGAGAAGTCATGACCGCATCGCGATCGGGTATTCCCTTCTCATATCCAGCACCCCCCAACTGCTTTTTTCCATGTCCCAAAATCCCAAGTGCTGTCCAAAAACCAGTTGCTGGAGGGGTTCTAGATGTTGTTGTTATGTTTTCGTTTGCTTAAAGATGGGTTAATTCACCGTTAGTTCCCCTTTGGGGTGCAAAATAGCCATAGGCTCAGATTATACGTAATTATGCACAATCAGCCTTTCCGAAACGGTTTGCTTTTAACATTTGGTCATATCCTACTGCTTTGTTAAAACACATGCTTTCCAATCATCACGTTACCCCTAGTTGGTGGTTTGGATTGGTAGGATTTGGATTTGAACGGGTCCCTGATTCTTGTAGAGAGTGGGGAACCCCTCCAGAACAGCACCAAACCACCGATTCGGCTCCAAACCGCCAACTAAGAGGGAAGCTGAAATACCAGGGCAACCTGAGTGAAGCGTGCTTGGTGTTTGTTTCGTTTGGACATATTGTCCAAAGACTCACCCAGCCAATCACCCGCACTTGAGCCACTTTTTTCCTTGGTGGCTCTCCCTTTTTTTGAGTGGTGGCCCAAAAAGTGTGCACCTGGAGTCTCCATGGCCCTTTAAGAATGGTCCATGACCCCTATATTTTGGGTAATGACCAACAATTGTTTAAGGGTCAGAAGGATACTCCAGGCACTGGTTTTTGGCTGGTTGGCCAAGTGAGCTGGTTTTCCCAGCTGCGCTCGGAAGCTTCCAGGTGTCCTGCCTCGTGGCCTGGCGCTTCGTGCGCGCCGTCTTCCTGGCCGAGAGCTCCAAGCACCTTGGTTGCTTGGGCAGTGGCTAGGTGCCCACCCTTTTACCCTTTTTGGTTGGAAGGGTTCCTCTACAAAAATAGACTACAGACAAAAAGTTGGTACCCTTATTCTAACCTCTCTATCTAGCTATGGCTTGGGTTTGCAAAACGACCTGGCGTCTCTGAGTCTGACCCGCTTTACCCGAAATCATGGGGTCATGACCCGGTTTTTTAAGGGTTTCTTCTCCTCGGCGCGGTGACGCCGGCGGGAAAGGGCTTGGGCTGGAAACACCGGGCTGGCGTCACCGGTTTCTTCCAGCTAGCTGGGTGAATATTCCAATGAAAATTGCCGGGAGTCTCCGAGTCTGACCACTAGAAAATGGGAACGGCACTACACAAAATCAAGGGGTCATGAGCAACCATGTTGGAAGGTTATGAACTGTGGGGTAACGGTTTTAGACAATAAGGCTTCTTATCGATGCCCCTGTAATAAGCAGCAAACAATGGTTTCCCATTGCTTCAAAGTGGTGCGAACGGAGTTTGCCCATCCACAGTATTGTCTGGGGCTGGAGTGGTCGCTTCGGGTTGTGGTCGGACTTGCTTCTTTTCGCTGGTTTGCCAAGTTGGAATTCCCTATTCAGTATCCTAATTACCCCTATAGCAGGTAAGCCTGCGTCATGTTCCTTTTACTTTTTCCACGGTAAGCCGCTTGGTTACCTGCTACGGGAAATGGAATGGGACAGACAAACCCGGCTCGACCCTTTTCATGTGTTTTCCTTTAGCTTGGAATGGACCCCAAAACGGAACAGGTCTTTCCCCGGGGTTAACATGGAACACCTGGTAGTTTCGGAACTCGGGTCCTAGCTTGTGGAGCAAGCCTCAGACCAGGAACATCTATGGAAATGATTCATTTTTTAAGGCTGTTATACAAGATCGAGCGAAGGGGAAAAGTTGCCATACCCTGCACAAGCTGCAGCTATCAAGTGATTTACCCCTCAACCACTGGCACTTATGGGTCCCGGGTACCTGGGAGATCAACGACTCCTCTTGCGAAAAAAATATCCCTGTCAGCTGCCATACCCTGGGAGAGGGGAGTCAACACCCTGGGGGCTGTGGATGCGAAAAGTGGAAGGTTATGGCCTTGGTGCTTGGATCTTGGCTACACGTCTCGCCTTGTCTCAGCCTTTGTCTGGAAGTCTGGGTGGTTTGGATCGGTTTCGCGGTGTTCCGGTGGCTTCCAAAAAAAGAGAGAGCGGATTTTACAAAAGCCAGGGACCCGCTCAAATCCAAATCCATCCAAACCAGACGGTAACCCCAGGCATGTTGGTAAAAAGCAAGAAACACACATGGAGCTTTGTTTGGGCGTGTTCTATTTTGGGACCTTATTTTTGGGAAGACCTTTTTTAGTGGTTTGTGGCCAATCCTTTCAAGAAGCTTGAGTCCGGGAGCTGCCCCTGGAACTTCCGCAATTTTCGCGCCACTTTGAAGGCACTGCCCATGTGCCGCTTTTGGTTGCAAGTTACCTCAGTCCCAATCCTCCCTAGAGTTCTGGTTGTGCTTGTTTTGGCACTTTCGAACGGTTTCATTTTGATATCCCTTGTAACAACGATCACGACAGGTTACCCTGAAACAAAGGGTACAACCATCTCTGAGGCAAGAGAAGGGCGCGGTGGACGCGCGGTTGCTCTTTGGGGACATGCTGGTCGCTGGAGTGATCACACCTGCGATCATCATTGTTGTCTTCGCAAACACGCAGATGTATACTCCGCTGTGGACACTGAGCAATGAATCGGGTGTCCTTATTCTAGGGGTACCTTCCCCATTCTTTCCAGGGATCCTTCTTCCTAGAAAACCTCCGGAAACCCAGGGAAAACACCCGTAGTTTAGAAAGAACGATGGTTGAAATGAATGGAAAAGGAATCAACTTCTAGACTTATTCATTCTCGTGAGGGAAATCTATTCTTTGAATGCGGTGAGGCTTATCTGCCCAAAGGCTCCTGGGGCTTGGTATGCAGAACGCGGGGGCGCTCGTACCACAGCCCGCGTCAAAGGAATTGGTGTCAAAAGGACATGTTTTGAGGAGTCATGCGCAGGAATCGGCTACAGGTCACAAACGGATAGCCAGCTCGATTTGGAGCTTTCCCTCCTGGCACCAGCACCCTTTTCTTTAGTTTAATTTCCCGTAGATTCCGTAGGCTCCGTATGTTTTTTAGTTGGTTTAGTGGTTGGATTTCCATTTAATTAACCCAAAAGTTAAGCTTGTAGCAGGGGATGTGAAAACGGACAGCCCAGCACCGGAAACTCAAAGGGGGATGGGCAATTGTTGCTTTCCACCCAAGCACCCTGTTTCCCTTCGAATGGTTCTTGGGCTCCTTTTTCATTTGGGCCCCTAACTTGTTTGCTCAACAAGAGGTCCTTGGGATCTCATCTACTTTGACCCAAAAGGAACCTGAGTAAATGTTTACCCCAAACAAGGGACTCACGCTAACGGCCCGTTACCCCAAGGCGACCTTCTTGATCGAGTACTGGCCTCATGATTTTACCATGATCAAAGTCATTTGTGTTGGTTTACAGGGAAACACCCCGCCCATTTTCTGACCTGAGAACCAGAACTACTCAAAATGACCCCAGGTTGGACCAAGTTAGCCAGTGGCTAGCTTTCTGGGTTCCAACCCACTAATAGGGGCAACCCCACTGAACGGGAGACTTGTAAGTGGGTTATAACGTAGGTTACCAACAACTTACTACCTTGGCAGCGAAACTATGATTCGTTCTCGGGAAAAATAGCAAAACAAATACGATATTTTCGAGCCACACCGCAAAAACCGTCTTTTATTATTATTTTTTGTGGGGGGGGTTGTAATGACCACCGGGTGCGCCAAGGACCGTCTTGTGGGACGCCACGGACTACGGCATGGGCAAGGCCATCCTGGCTCATGGCTCGGTTTTGACGAGCTGTTGGCTGGCCGGGGCGCTGCTGGTGGGGGCCTACTCCAAGGATGCCACGGAGCCGCGACCCGGCATCGCATGGAGCCATGGGCGCTCACAACTCAAGAAGCGATTCGGGTAGATGAAGGTAAGTAAGGGTGTAGCTTTATATGTTAGTTTGAATAAAGATGGATGGGTGCATTTGGTTTAGATGGGTCTTATGTATTCCGACGGAGCCATGGCTTTTTGATCGGCTGGTTTGAATGAAAGTAGATGGGTTTCACTGGTTTAGATGGGCTTAGATGGGTTTATTACCCATTTACCAGGGCACCTATGGATGGAGCGCAACCTTTGACTCAATCACAACCGATTCGGGTCTTCAAAGAAGATAAGATGGGATAGCCTCATGGCGGAATCCTGAAAATGCGTGGTTTGCCTCTGGTTTCTCTTTTGGCCCTCCGCCAAAACAAGCAAATCGCGAGTAGCTGAAGGTTAAGAGACAATCCGAACCATAAATAGGTGCAGCCGTCTTTTCAATTCTTTGTATGGTTCTGGGTAGACCATCTTTCGTACCCGGTTTTGATTATGTCTCATTTGGGTGTTTAAACATCACCTGCTTGGCCCACTTATGCCGAGTTTTCCAAAGGTGTGATGTTTTTTTGGGCAAAATATAATATATATATATACACATACACATACGTGTCCTTTTGTTGGAGGACCCCCAAAATGCCCAAGCGATGTTCCTCTTGTTTTCCCTTTAAAGCTGCAAAAACGGGGGTACCCTCAAAGAAAAGACAGGTGCCATTCGTGTTTCAGCAGAAGTTGTTAGTTTGTTCCCTGGTTTTAAAGGGACTCTATATATCACTACTGAACATACGGTCATGGTCTTTACAGATAATCTATCACTACTGCGAAAGACATGCTCCTTTTTTCCGGACGTTTTGAAGGGAGTCTACCACTCAAAAAGCAAAACACACAAACAAATCAACGGCCGTTTTTCCTTTGGCACGACCACCACTCAAAAAGCAAAACACACAAGGAAACCTCAACGACCGTTTTTCCTTTTTCCCAAAAAACGACCGCGGGGCCATGGGTGCCCCGGGGGCCTAACGCTTCCGCCTCGCTCGCCCCGCGTGCCGACGCGCGCCGAACCGCGCCGAAGCGCCGAAGCGGAGGTCGGACCTTGCGGCCACGGTGAAGTGCGTCTGGAGCTCCGGGGCCGTGGCGGCCGCGCTGCTGGCGGCCTGCTCCCTGCTCAGCGCCTCGTGTGTGTTTTCTCTTTTCTTGTTTCTTCTTCTTTTGTTTGTTCCATGCTTTTCCATTTTTTTGTTGTTTATTTGTTTTCTTTTTCATCCGTTGATGTTGTTGTTTCGTGTTTGGTTTTCCAGCTTCGTTTTGTTGTTTTGTTGTTCTGCATCATCCGCCAACCGTTTTTTTGAGGAGCCGCGTTTTGTTGTGTTTGTTTCTTCCATTTTTTCTCCCCGCGAGGACTCCCGCAGGATGTTTGTTGCTTCGTCACCTCGGCTCGCCGTTTTTGGTTTTTGCGAGGAGTCCAGTAGATTTGTTGTTGTAGCTGCATCATGTATGGAATGGCTGGCAACGTTGACCCCCCCCGTTCTTTTAGCGAGGAGTCCAGGAATGTCGACCCCACATGAATCCAGCAACCATGCGTTTTGTTTTCCCCCGCGAGGACTTCCGTAGGATGTTTGGTTGTTTTATCTGAAAGAAAATTATGGAATGGCATGAGCTCAGCGATTCGGGGCCATGGCAAGGATCCTTTACTTGGGAATCCCTTAATTCAGCTTTGGACATATTGAATACTTGCATTATATATATACATATGTGCACCTGTATGCGTATACATACATATATGCACACATGCATTACATACATACATTACATTACGCTACACTGCTATATTACATTACACTGCATTATATTGCATTGTGAGAGCCAATTTTAAATCGTGCCCCCGTTTAGTGGGGCATCCGGATCGCTTTTGGTGACACCCCCGTCGAATGGGTTGATTCATTTGGGGTTCGTGTTGTAGTATGTGAGTGTTTATCCAGCTTAGGGACGAATTCCTGGGTGGTTGGTTTCCACCTAGAGTCTCCATGACCCTTAAAAAATGGGTCCATGACCCCTTAATTTTGGGTAATGACCAACCATTTTTTAAGGGTCAGAAGGAGACTCCAGGTTTACAGTTGGTTTCCCGAGACTATCCAAAGAAGGGAATGTATATGGGTATATCTTCTTTCGAGGGTACCCCGTTTTTGGTTTTTCAACATATGGATTCGGACCCGCATGGTCGGCTTGATTTCCCTCGACGAATGGGATACCCACCAAAACACACAAACCCATATTGCCTTTTCGAGGGTATTACCCTTTTCGGGGGGCGCAAAGGAAAGCCAACACAAAGCCACAATTTGGGCCCAGGCAAGGATTCTGGGTGCTAAACCCCCTGATGTTTCCACAAAGAAACCAGAAAAGGGATGGCGATTTTTGTGGACAGCCGAGCTTCCTTCTTGGGAAACAAGCTCTGCGCTTTCTTCGGGATGGGGTGTTGAGGGGGGACAGCTAGGGAACCCTGCAAAGAGCTTCGAACGTTTTCGGTTGAGCTGTGTTTGGCGTGAAGTTGGGTTGATAAAGTGGCCATTGGAGTCAAAGTAGAGGTGGACCCTGCAAAATGGTGGTTTGCTTGTTGGTTGCTCCTTTGAAGCAACCCCCCAAATTGTACCTCAACAGAATACAGCGCCGCTTTGGCAGCTCAGCACCCCCATTTTAGGGCAGCTGGAGGGGACGGAGTGGTATTTTATTGCGAGTGGGTTTGGGTGCCGGGTCGCACATGTTACAAGCGGACAAGTCCACAGATTTAAGATCAATTCATAAATTCACATGCAGCAACGGTTTCCCTTTTCTCGAAGGAGTCGCTTGGAGGCGCTTGGCGGTTGGTTTCCCCCGCAAAGGGGGGAGGGCCGCGTCGGCCGCGTACTCGAGAATTCCTCTCGAGGCCTGATCTTCCTTGATTCGCGAGGGGCGTACCTGACTGCCTTCGACGCGGACCGCACGTGGCTTGGACCTCGAATTTCTGCGATAAGCAACGAGCTGCATCAAAATAAGGGAACCCGCCGAAGAAAATAGCGGTGGGGTAACCGAATCTTTGACAGAAGTTCATGAACACCTATTTGGTTTTGCCCCTTCACCAGAGGTCCAGAACACTTATTTTGAGCCAATTACCGCAACATAAGCAAGTTAACAGGAAAAACACATTCTTTCTTTGGGGGGGGTCCCCTAAAAGACAATCCCATTGAAATCAACCCGAAAAGGGTGCGGCGCGCCTCAACCAAAATTCCAAAAGCTAGAAACTCAGCAACTTCTGGCGCGCGAATCCAAAAAGCGGCGGAGGCTACAACAGCAGTTCTTCGACTTCCTTACAGACGTGGAGTTCGGGGCCATTTGCCTCACCACCTGGCGCTTGTACTTTGCTGGCTACTTCTGAGGAAACCATCCAGCACTGGGAAGTGGAAAGTGGATCGCTGATAATCTTTGGCAAGGCCCACCTTTGCTCGGGATGAATAAGGATTATTCCAAGCTTCCATGTTGCACAGCGACAAGTGATGCGATTCCATCCCCACTTCCCCGAGTGCCTGCTCTTTGTTTGAAGACGATACCGAGAAACTGGCACGAAGCTGAACCAACTTCGAGAACGGATGCCGTTTCTTGCAAGTCGACCGACAATACTCAACCACAAAAAGTTGGTTTCCTCTACTTGCCATTATTCCGGGCATCCACAGTTCTGTCCTCCATTTTTCTCTCTGGGGTGCGGCCGCCAAAATCCGGCGGCCGATCCGAAAATCTTCGCATTGCGGCCACAGCTCGTGCACAGCAGACCGCTCGCTTTGTCGTGAAAAGTGCCGACAGGAAAGAGACGTTTGGCTGTTTTGTTTTCCCCTAAACCATGGTTGAGGTTTGGGATTTGAACCCCTGGTTCTTGTAGAGGGTAAATGGGAAACCTTCCCCAACCACCAAACCACCAATCCATATCACCAACTGGGGGGAAGCTGAATGTTCCTTTCAGTGTTTTTTTTGCACATCATCTTTTTGCAACATGTTAAGTGATATGTTTTTGAGGTGAGGCTCAAAGGGACACCTCGGGAACGTCAGCACCCCTTGCAGAATGGTTTTGTGCCCGAGCCTTTGGTCAGCCTTTTGTCAGCCTTTGTGGCTGCGAACTGAGTTCCAATCCAAACATCGGCACAGAAATTTACTGTGAGCTTCCTTGATTTGGCACCTTAATGCTGACCCTTTTGGATGCTGACCCACTCGAGTTTATTAATAGGGTGGTGGCCCTGGGTTTAGTGGGGAATGATCACTTTTGGAGGAGAACACCCCCGTTTTGATAAACTGGGGTTGATGAATATGGAGTCAACATTTCGCATGAAGGGACAATTGTCGGTCCCTTATTTCTGTTCAGCACGTTAGGCAACAATTTTGTCTATGTTTGATGCAAACCATTCAGTTGCAGTCGACGTGTTCAGTAGTTCCCTAAAAAATCCTTTGTTGCTGGTCTTACTCACCAGGTTCAAAGTGTTTACAAGGGGCACGCAGCCTCATTTCGGAGGGGATCCTGATCACTTTTGACGTGAGTTGTCCTGCTTTTCTTTGCCAGACCAACCCGTTGGTTTTAAGGTTTCTGCGGGGTTTCTTTACTGTTGGTTTATTTGCGCCTTAAGCTTGGTTTAGTTGGAGTTTAGAGTTGGTTTTGGGTGGTTTGGGGATAGTTGATTGTTACCCCTGTAGTGTCCCTCGCTTTTTGCGCTGTTGAGCTTCGGGTACTCGGGTGTTCGCCAGTGGGAAGCCCCGCCAAGAGCATCTCGCCAGGGTGGCTGCATACCACGGCAACAAGCCCACGGCCGGGCGAAGTCTCACTCGGAGCTGTGCGACCCCAGCGTTGGGCCAACCCGAGTTTCTAGGGGTTGGTTCCTTTTCCGTATTCTTTCCAACCATCGTTCTCTCCGAAAACCGGATCCGTTTTTCTCGGTTTCCGGAGCCTTTTTGGAAAGATTCGGATCCCTGGAAAGAATGGGAACGGTACCCCTAGAGAATTAACCATCCAGACACTCAGTGGGTCGCTTCCTCCCTTTTGTTTCTTCCGAAAAAAAAAAAGAAAAGAAAAAAACAAGAAAAAAAAACAACATTTAAAATCAACCGAACAGGGTTGCCCGTTTTTGAACACCAATTCTTGAATACCAATTCTTCCGTTGAAGAGGATTGGGTTGTGCAATTTTAGCTTTGAACATCCCGCTGTGGTCCAAATCGGTCCTCAGCCTGAACTAGGGCTATTGAACATTTAACATCCACCTTTTCATTATTTGAAGCTGGCTACTAGGATGTTCGGTTCACCAAGTTAGTATGTGGTTCGTCACCTGGGTGAGTGCGCTATAGGTGACCAACCACTTACTGACTTGGCTGAACACCCCAGCAGGGTATGTCTTGCATGTTTGTGTTGCCCAACCCATCGACTGTCCCAGTTCCAAGCCCATGGAGTGGCTCGACGAAGAGGTTCTACGAAGCATCTTTTTCATGTGACGTTGTCCATGTTTAGGTTTTGGACTTGTCATGGCTTTTGGCGGATAGGAGCATGAATGCTCCTGTCATTTTGAGAGAATATACATGGTACCCTTCATGTCAGGATTGGGGGGGGTCCTTCCGCATAGTTCTCAGAACCCTTCTAAACTTCCAAGGTTCTAGACATACGTTGGGGGTCAATTGTTGGCCAAGATGTTCCCAGCGCTGAGAGTGCCGCATGGTGCCTTTGAGCGCCAGGTCGTCCGACTTCTTCGCCTTGGCTGACGGCACATGCGCTCGAGCTCGCTGCGCCGGAAAATCGATGCGGGCTCGGGCGGGATCGGTCTGAAGGTTGGGAGAACTTCCTTTTGCTGACATGAATATTAAGAGTAATTTCCCCTTGTGGTTTTAAAGGGAACCCATTACTACATAACACTAGTGGACTTAAGCAAATGGAAGAGAACAACAAGCCCCCAAGCCGACCTTTTGACATCCTTTGACGTTTGGTCGCCCGCCTTTGACCCATATGGGGGCCGTCCGTAATTGCATGTCTAAAACTTATGAACGGCAGCAACTTGTTGAACCGCGCGATTGGGAAAACTCGAGCCGCGAAAGGCCGGCGATTGGACCGCGAAAGGGCAACAAAATTATTGTGAATTCAGACGCTGCATGGAGTTTAGATTGTGGTGCCGACGCATGTCTCGTTCATTTTGACTGCACGGTCTCGCACAAAAGTGCCTCCTGGAAAGCTGAATGTTAATTTTGCCTGCGCAGGCCCAGGCTGTGCTTTCTATTACTGGTAAGGGCTGGAAGCTGCAAACCGAAGTTTCACATTCCGCGGTTGGACGGCGATTGGACGGCGACTGGACGAGTTTCACCAGTGAGGCCCTGCCCATCCGAGCTACGTTACTTCCTTCCAGATCCAGGTATGGATGGAGGAAGGCCAGCGCTTGAGATAAGACAGCGAAAGCTGAAACAGAAACAGCAGCGATGACCAACGTGGCTCCGCGATTGGAATCTGTGGGATCGCGGTTGGCCGGCGATTCGCCTGCGATTGGGGGGTCCCCAGGCAAAGTAATTCTGTCAACCCCCATGTGTAGCGAGGGTTCCAACAGGCTAAGCTTTGTCTACTGGCTCTTTCGGGGAAATGAGAGTATGGTCAAGTTGGGTTGGGGCCATGGACTCCAAATCACCAGCAAAACCGGAATCTCGAGAAGTGCAACAAATTGTCGCACGCCCGTTTAGGGGTCTCTGTCAAGTCTCGCGGACGTTTCAGAGGGCCGCCTCTGGCGGCTTGGCGTCGGGTTTCGGGTCCTCGGCTTTTCTGGGGATTTATGATGAGGCCTGAATTGGCCAAGCAGGTATCAACACGCATTGGGTTCTGTGCGTACCTGGAGTCTCCATGACCCTTAGAAAATGGGGTCATTACCCAAAGCAAAGGGGTCATGACCCCATGTTCAACATTCTAAAAGGGTCATGGAGACTTCAGGTAGATAGATCCTTGAATGGCCAAACGACCGGTTCCTCTTGGGTAAGGAGTCCAAGAACCTAAGGACCGGCCGGGATGGTCATCAACCTCTTTGGGGATTTGGAAACCAATGTAACAAGGTTCCTGCTGAAGGAGCCATGACCATGACCCACATGATGCATTCAAGTTCGCCTTTGACATGCTTTCCATTTGATCTTGTTTCACCTTGCTGTGCCAAAGTGTACTCTCATTGACCAGACTCATACCAAAGACCATGACCCACATGAAGAGTCTTGACCATGGTAACTATTTTCATATCGACATATTAGCACGTATAGAATGGAAACGTGTGTGTGTGTGTGTGTGTGTGTGTCTGTGTTTCTGTGTGTATGTGTGTATGTGGCAGATCACTTTAGTTGTTGCCAGTATGGGCTTTACACGGGCTGTTTCGTTTTCCCAACTTTGCACGGGCTGTTGTGTTCAACGGGTCTTTTCCCAGCTTGTACGCCGTGCTGGGTGAGTGTGGAATCCGAAGCCATTGTTGCTTGACAGCTTTTACCAAGAGGCCCTTTGGTCTGGTCAAGTCGTTCAATGCTTCTGGAGGCACTTGTTCCTTGGCCATGTTAGCCATGTTTCATCCACGTGGTTCGTTGTCATGGTCTTCGCAGTCCCTGATGCAAAGATTGCAGGTCCCGGACTTTCCTTCTATCACCGGGTTCCAATTGAAGACCTGTCTTTTTAAGATACTGTCCTTGATGGCATATTGAGGTAGGAACACGAGGCTCAACATCTCTGCATAATTGCCAGGACATGTGTTTGGCTACGCATTGCCCATCCACATCCTATCCAGCTTGTGATGGGTGTGTATTTGTTTAAGGTACCCTTTTCAGGATGGTTTAAAGGGAAGCCAAAATGAACACCACATTATTTGGCCCCCCTGTTTTGATGCGCCCTACCATTGCACAGCTCAGAACTCACCCCCTACACCATCTTTCCCACTGCAACTCGCAATGCCTCCGTGAGAGCATGGAGCTCGTTGAAAGCCGGGCACCCAAGGAAGCCAACTTGCGAAGGGCTCGATGCGGCCAATCATTTCTTTGGGCACGCTGAAGAATGGTTGGGAAACATTCCAAGCTCCCGCGTTCAAATGATATCCACGGGGTTCGGAACTTAAAGATAAAGTCCTGCAAGCAAGCGGTCCTTACAAAACAGGGGCTCGACAACATCCCTTTCCGAACAGATCAAAGATGCGCTTTTTGCCGTCAAAGGGTTTTGCAACTGCTTGCTTAATTGGTGGTTTGGATTGGTGGTTTAGGGAGTTGAATCCACTGCTTCCTGATGGCACATGGGAAGCTCTCCAAACCACCCATTTGCTCCAAACCAATTCGGGGCAAGCGTCTTCAGGATCCCCGGACGCAGGACATGCACTAATCACTGTTGGTGGATCATGTTTTTAGGTGTTTGGTTTTGGTTCTGTTCATTTTAATGAGCTGCAAAAATAACATTGCCCATACC